CCAGTGTTGATGATGTAATATAAATTTGACCATTATGGGAAAAGAATAAGCTCTTTATTTAAAAAAACGCATGCGATTATTTCCGGCTGACTTATGCTAGAAATTATAATCAACTTATTTTAGAATTTACATATTTAATTTTCAAAATTTGAAATGCTTATTTATGGTCCCGATAATCTGAAACATTTATAACATTTTTAAAAATACGTTTTTTAAAGTCATGATTTTCATCACATGATATGTATGGTCCTTATACTCAGAAACATATACAATTTTTGTTTTATATTACACTCTTAAAGCAATAGTTTTATCACATCACTACCATGTTACCTCATGCAATATCACTCATGAATTGTGATGTCATTATGAAAACAATAGGCATGACGTCATGCCAGTGTGACATCACATTTAGGACAATAGTAAATGTTTTCTTTCTCGGTAAATAGAGCGTCGCTAAAACGAAAACTACAAAGACTCGTTTGCACAAATCTCATATGAAATGGAAACGAATTTAAGATCCTATTTATTTTTATAATTATACAATAAAAGTCTCTACAGCGTCATGACGTTTTAATGAAATATTAATAAAATCCCGAACTACCTTGGCGTACATCGATAATCAAAACTAATATTCCTCATGTCTTAATATTAATGATATTTACTTAATATTAAACATAAATTGAATGTAATTTATACAATTTTTGCGACGTCATGTAAGGAATCTAGATAAATCCAGATCGAAGAAGGGCTGTTAAAGATAGGATCTATAATAACACTCTGTCAAAACGTGTAAGGCACAACACAAGGGGGGCTCTTATCTACAAGATACCTGCAGGTTTTGAAGACTTCAATTAAGAACTGTTCACTAATGTAACGCTGAGAGACGAACCAGCTCTCTAAACATGGTCGAGCCTGGCGACGCCGCTTGCCCCGTTGGTTGGGATGTTCTCCTTGAAATTACAAAATACGGACGCTCAAAAATGTCACGACGCATCCGAACATGATTTGACAATTCGTAAGATGAAAAACATGGCTTTTCCATCAGAGGAGAAGGAAGGTCACATTGAGAGCCCACGCAATCTAAATCTAAATCCAAAACTGACATGTCACTTTAAATCAAACCACCTGCACACTCCTATATAAAAGCTATATGTTGATACCATTTTATTTAAAGTGTAAGACAGATTTACGCGGAGGTGGCTAACGCATTGGATCGTCTTCCCTGTAATATGATAAAAATCATTTATTTTCTTCTCGTCGGCATAAAGACACGACTTTCCCCCTTATGTGTTATTCATATAATTAAAAGGACATGACAAAAAAAATCACCGTTTTTAGAAGGAAGACATTCTGAGCAAATATCTAGAAATAAACTCTACACTCATTTATTTTAGAATGATCCAGCAATTGTACTCATTTTCTTATTAAGTTTAAATCTTCAAGGTCAAGTTATACTTTCCTATAAAAGAAAACTAGGGTGTGAGGCGGGCCTAATAAGCGGAATAGGGAAAATATTTCAATGACTATAGTATTTCTAGAAAAATTTGACACCTAAGAACAAAATTTACAGTGTATATACCTTCCCTGAATCAGGGGAATGCACTTAATACATTAATGTGGTGAGCTCAGGTTTATCTCGACCAATCAGAATCCAACCCATGCAGGTTCCAGGGAAGATACCTGTTGAATTTGTCTTCAGTGTCTTTTGATTGGACCGTTGCCCCATTACGACTACTTCATACTTTTAACTTCTCTCGTGTCTACCCCTTCTTTTTATTATCCCTAGGCATAGATGTCCTATTTTAGTATACATATTTTCACATAACTCATATTTTTTAAAAAGTCAATTTTCTTTCATTTGAAAAAATGTACTTTTCCTACCACTCCTACTTAGAAAATAAGTTTCTTTTTTGACCAAAGGTAATGTTCATGCCCCCCCCCCCCCCCCCCCCCCCCNAATTTATACACAATATAAACAATATTATTTTTTTAAAAAGAATTGTACTCGTCAAAGCCCTTACTTAGAAAAATAAGGTTTTTTTATATTTTTTTTATTCACCCCTCTCCCTTTGAGTTTTGAGTTCCAAAGGGCCCGTTTTGATCTGGTTATACACACCGCACCTGCTAGTGCCAATTACTTTCACATTTCAAACAAAATAAAAGAAATACAACAGTTCTTATGTCATTAGAGAATTCCAGTCAGTCTTCCCCAATGTTTACACGTGTGTGTGTATGACGTGTGGACCCTAAAATCTACAAGTGGGTGAAGACGTCAGTATAAAACAAATATCGAATGCACCTGTTTTACAGTAAGTCTATGTAAAAGCACGGACTTAGATAATCTAATTCCGTGGTAAAAGTGTCAAGTTTTAGTGGTCTTTCCCTTCTTTTTTCCATGTATTAGCATGACGTTGCCACTTCCGTTCACGACAATTTAATTAACTTTATATATTCATCATTCATTCAAGTGTCTCTCAACGTAGGTGTAGGACAGTCTACTGTCAATGGTCGAATGATCAAGGGTTGATCTTGTCTAGGTCAGTTTCCAAACACTTATTTTTGTCTTATATTACTGCATATTTATTCATATGTATACCTCGTGTATGATAAAAAAAAACTGTCGTATCCGATCGGAAACACCCTAATCCATAGACAGACAGCAATATTTCATTTTCAAGATACCTTCTTAAAGTTCACATATTTTATATGATAAAAGGTGGGACAAAGATCAAACCACGTTTTTCTTAGAATTAGGTTTCAAAATATTTTATCTAAACAAATAGACATTTCTACCCCCGGAAAACTACGCTGTCTTCCCCTTGTGGACACATTTGTATCCGATCATAACTTCGATAGCTATTCACCAACATTTCAAACAAATTCATAGACACAATATACCAAGAACCCTATTTATTTAGCATTCAAATATCAATTCCTTTGTGTCTCGGTACTCAAAACATACTTTCTGCCATATCTTGTGCAATGTTTGTCTATTTTTTTTTAAAAACTTCACAGGAATGTTGACTACACACAGACTAAGAGCTCTATAAATCATTTTGGTACTCAAAGTTCTAGATTATTAAGTCTCGGTACTTCAAAATGCATTCCATTCATACGTAATTAATGTATCACTTTACATTTTAATGCTTCAGATACAAAACAAAATCTACCATCACTCCGACGCTAACCAATTCTGAGGTTGAAAGACCAAAGACCAATGTCCACGTTCATGCGGCTCGTTGCTTTAAAATGCTGTCCAAATCGATAATTGAGCACATTTTCACCACTCATTCCTGTTTTTAATTTCAGCCACTTCAAAAGATGTATGAAATGTCGATTCTTCATTCTTACTCGATATATTTCCCCTGCAAATTTTCACATGAAGAGATAAGCTGTGTAAATAGAATCAACTGTGATCTTAAACTAATTTGAGTGAGCTAGGGCTTTACTTAATGTTTCGGTGCAATTTCAAGATACTGTTTGGAAAAAAACTTGCAATCAAAGCATCACCTTTTCATTTATGTAGGCCTACTCCTCGAAGTGATTTTGGAATAGTCAGTCGTCAACCTGTTTCGCACGTTCTCCTACTTGGTAGGGTTTACCATAATCATATATTGAATAAATCACACTAATCCCATGATTAATACGAGTTTATGTACCTTGATCATAACGATCTTGTCTTCAGATTATTTTCTTAAAACACAGAAACAGGGTTCTGCACCCGAAAACAACTGTATGTAGTTATGCATGCAATACTATTGTTATACTTATAATCTTCCCCTTTTTGTTTGTTGCATTGTCTTAATAAGACGTTGGTGTTCCAGTTGCAAAAGGCGCAACAAACATATGGATAAGGTGTGTTTCAAATTAGCTTTTGTCTTCCAGTAATGGATTTGATATTTGTGACATGTTTTACATTTCAGGTGTCCTGTACAGAACATCAATCTTACTCAGAGCACTAGTTCCATCATTGACAATAGTTTTTTGACAACAAACTTTGTAGGCTTTGATTTGTTTGTGTTTTACGTCCTATTAACAGCCATCGTCATTTAAGGATGTGCAGGGTTTTGGTGGTGGAAGAAAGCCAGAGTTCCCGGAGAAAACCGACCTACAGCCAGTACCTGCTGACTGCCCCACGTAGGTCCCGAACCTGCGACCCAGTGGTGGAGGGCTAGTGGTAGCAGAATATCAGACGCCTTAACCACCGCGGCCAATCGTAGCCTAACTTCATCATCTACAGATCTGCGATTCATTCACCCCATTACGCTCAGGTAACCTTTAATCCCTATCGTGTGTTTCCACATTTAATACAGAGACAGGCGACTAGTGTATTAGCTTGCAATCTGTACTCCATGGTCCTACACTTGATGTTGTCCCTGTTATTTGAGAGATTTATTGACACATGAAAAAATGTTATTCTCAAGAGTAAAATATATCCTCTTCGAGAATAAGCATCATTGCAACCATACTTTCCATGAAAAAAACCCATGTTAAATGCAAAAATGATCAAAGTCAATTATTTAGGTTAATCATCCATTTTGTTTTCTATGCCTAAGACATGTATGATACATTTTGGTTACATGTGTATTATGATCATAAACACTTCTGCCCCCCGCCCCCCCAAAAAAAGGAAAAATACAAACGAAAAACATGAAGTCATATTTGCCAGTACATCATTTTAATTATCTTGACAACAGTTAACAAATACCTTCACAATTTTTCAAGTCCACAAGCTTTTGTTCACAAAATACTTCTGCTTGTGTATGAATACCTCATCTCTCTTTCTCTCCCTGTATGTTTCCTCTCTCTATCTCCATATGTCTCTCTTGCTCTTGCTCTCTCACTGTGTCAATTTATCAGTCTCTCTTTTTCAATATTTCAGTTTATCTCTGTCCACTCCTACCCTTCCACTCTCCCTGTATGCTCTCTCTCTCTCTCTCTCTTTTTCTCTCTATCTCTCCCTACATCTCTCTTTCTCTCCCTCTCTATGTGTCAGTTTATCTGTCTCTTTTTCTCATATTTCAGTTTGTCTCTCTGTCCACTTCAACCCACACCCTCCTCCTCCTTTCTTTCCTCACAAACATAAAACTACCATGGTGCAGATTCAATTTAGTATGTAGATTCAATGATTTTGTGCCTGTGTTTCTGTACACAAGAGCTGCCAGTTCAAGAAGTACTACAAGTTATCACAATAGTACTGTAAAGCAAGCACATACCATTTCATTGTTCGTTACACATTTCACACAATTCTTGCAGATACAAAACCTTTACATGTTTATCTATAAACAGCAGGGCACAACACCTGAGTCGAATGAATTGGTCATTTTCAGAATCAACTGATTTTGGTAGTACAATACATTGGTAGTACAATACATTATAACGTATGAAGATCCCCATCATAAGACAGTGCACAGATCTTACACACAAGTATTACAGTATACAGTAGTACAAATGATATCATCCAATCAAATGTCTGATTTCTGTTTACAACAGTATCAATCTCATCCAATCAAATCAATGCCGACAACAGTACACACAAGAACTCATCCAATCAAATGTGTGATTACAACAGTACACATCTCATTCAATCAAATGATTGCTGACATTAGCACACATGATATAATCCAATCAAATCAGTGCTTACAACAGTGCCCATGACCTCATCCAATCAAATCAGTGCTAACAACAGAACTCTAGATCTTGGTTCCATCAAATGGTAGCTTGGCACATCCCATCAATATATTCCAGATTTCGCATCAATATACCTTCTCAAGTCCGTCTGACTGTTCCTTCTGTGACGATTGCTCGAGACAAATTCCTTGTTAGGGCCAGACGTAATAAAGCTAGCTTTTCTTTCTCCCGAACGTCTATATCCTGCAAATTAAACCAGAAAAGTATTAGCATTGATCGAGTTGCTGGTGAAGTGGCTGATATGTTGTAGTTATCTTTATGCGTAATTCGTTTTGATTTGGAGCGTTCAGAATTCAATATCCAAGCAACAGGCAAGGTCGTATGGACACCGACACCTAGGGTGACACTGCCGAAAGTAAACAGTTTAATACGAGAGAAAAGAAAAGATGAGGTGATAAGTAATGCATTTCGGGACAACATTTAATTCCTTTACATATAAATATAAATTTTGTTTTTATAAAAATTGAAGTTATCTTGTTTGAATCTTTCTCTTCCACTTCAAAAAACTGTATGTCCTGACCCTTTTCAAAACATTCACTTTAAAGTCAGAAAGCAATTGCTTTTTCCTTCATACATATAATTCTAATCTCTAGTCATTGTGAGTCATCAAAATATTCGTTGGATGCCTCAAGGCTACCTCAGTCTATTACTATGGACCAAACTACCTCCTCAAGTCTCCAACCCTAACCCCTGGTCTAGATACTGACCTTGAATTCCCTCATTAGTTCCTCCAGACAATGCATTAGGTCAAAGGTTTGGGCACTGCTGAATATCACCTACAAAACAAGACACCACACAGGATATTAGTGACACACTGAATCAATTAATGTACCGTATTTATCCTGCAATAAGCCCAGGGGACCAACACATAATCCCTCACTCAAAGTAGGGGGTTTGGTTTACCCGTATTACAGGACAATGAAGTAACATCTGTTGGCATTTCTATTGAACTGTATAAGATATGGATGAGCTTATTACCAGGCATGGGCTTATTTAAATATAAATACAGTTATCCACATTTACAAACAACCACATATGTTACAACCACTCCAGAATTTCTTTCTTTCCAAGAGAACCATCCAAGAATTTCTTTCCAAGCAAGTTTTCTTTTCAAAATCTAAATTACCAAACAGAATGATTGAACTTTTTCAGGTAATAATCTTTTGAACAAAACCCAGGATGATAGGCTTGTGGCAGCTACATGTACACTACTTACCTCTTGAGCCTCCAGGAGAGGTATCGCATCCACAAGCAGTGTCACCCAGAACCTGTAACACATGGAAACTTGTTTTAACTAACTGTAGGACTGCAATATAACATGGTAATAATCCTGTATGGCTATGATAATGATAACACCACAATACCTTAATAAAGAGCAGTATTTACTGTTTTAGGGCCATGTAAGACAGGGAGATACTTATTGTTTCGGGGCTATTTTGACAGGACAGTACTTGTTGTTTCGGGGCCAGTTTTGATGGAGCTGTACTTACTGCTTTGGGGCCAGTTTAGCCTGTAGTAGGGAGAGCAGCAACTGGCCGGCTGCTTGAAACTCCTTTTCTTCGTACAACTTGTGGAACTCACGATATTTACCTAGAGAAATGAAAACAGAAACATTTATAGATTTATTAAAACTCATATACATATTTTCAATTTGTATTGATATATTTGTGCAACATCGTTTCTACTTCAGAGTCTGTCATGTGATAAATTCACTGAAATAAAGACCAATTTATAAATTTGTTAAAGGATCAATGTCAGAAAATGTATTATGAAAATTGCCTGTTCTGTTTAATTCATATTAGCTTATTAGGTCCTATGATGTTAATGGCCACTGGTACTGGGCCACAACACCAGCTATTACAGGTAATATGACAACTTTGTCCTCTGATGGTTCGGTCACTGTAGTTATACCGATAACTAGTTTATCTGAAATGACCTTTCTTGGATGTTCATTTCTGATATTGTTTTGTTTCATATCACCTTGTGGACAGGGGTATGTTAGGGACGGGCTTTTCTGGGGATCTTCCAGGCATTTGTGATGAAATTCAAGACATTTTGAGGCTTTTTTAATGGCCATTTTCAGTAAAAATAAGGTATTAAATCTCCTGACATATGTCAATTCTCAAAATAGAGATATCTGGATGTGTAACCCGGATGGATGTCTCTAAACTCCTCATATAAACACTAAACAACATTAAAATCTAACACTGGTCGATAGTCCGAAAATCCAGAAATTAAGTCATAACAAATATCTAGTTTTATTGTACTTTCTGAATTTGTTTTATGTAAGAATAACACCACAAAACTGCAAAACATTATATATAAACATAGATTAATGATCAATTAGTCAAATTCAATGCTCATTTTGGCCCCTTTGAGACACTGTAATGGCCTTTTCATTAATTTTAGAGCTTTCCAAGGCCTGTACTAACCCTGTTTTCCCTATTAGAAAAAGTGGAAAACATTTGTATCGACACATTATGAGTGGTGGTCGAATCCAGTTTAGCCTACCATTCTTGAATATTAAACCAGTTTCAATATATAATAGGTAGTGGAGTCTATAAAAAAGAGTTCCGAGCTGTAATGATGTTAATGATAACAGTCTAATTACCTAGAAATGTTAGACGGTTACTCAGTAACATGGAAGGTCCTAGATTGTCGATGAGGTCCAGGTTTGAGAAGCTTCCCTTCTCACTGTACTCAAACAGGAATCTGTCAAAAAATACACCACACATGTTATTGCAGTGACAATAGTTACTTTCCATTGGATAATAAATTACCTTCATTTAAATTTACTAAATTTAGAAAATAGTAAGTTTTTATGTAAATTGAAAACAAATACTATTAATTTTTATTTTATTTTTATGGCCCAAAACCTTTAGGGGATTTCCTGAAATGGTCAATATTACGTGATCTATATTTCGTGAGTTTCAGGCCTAGTGGCAACAGCAAAACATGTTAAATACAGAAGGTTGGTTGATTTGTTTCTGCGAAAATCGGTGAAAATTGAAACACTGTCAACAAAACAATCTTACAGTGCGAGGACCCTAAATATGCAAAGACCTTCCCGAATTTTCTATATTCCCTCATCTGACATAGGTTACTCACCGTTCTGCTATCACTGTGGACAGCGCTACGTCCTGAAATGGAAATATATAATTAATCATAATATGGAAAAAGAATCGTTCATAGGTATCCATAATAATGTACATGTATCTATGAAACAAAAATATTCCTTTTTTGTTTTTCAAAATTAAGCACTGACAAGATCTATTTGATAATCAACTGATTTTCTATTATATTTGGTCATCTGAACAACACTAACTATCTCATAAAGTTATCATCATATGCAAGTTATTGGATCAAGATCATTCAGATCATTCAATGAAATACCAATCTCCTCCCCATCCTCTAGAAAATAATGTCTGTAGAGAAATGGGAATGATACCTTAGATTTGAGGAACCAGGTAAGTGCAGCTCCGAGTCGTTTGTGTTGCATGTGTCTTCTCCCCATCACCTTACAGATGGACTTGGCTACAGACAAAACACAAAGACATTAGCATATACTCTCATGTACACTTCAATATTGCATTTATTGTAAACTTAGAATTTTTGCAGGTTCCTCATAAGCCAAAGATCACACTCTTTTTGGGCTTCCAACATAAGAGTGCTGGACCAATACCC